AAAATGGCAAACACTACAAAATTAAGATGTGCTCTCCCAACCCAGCAGAGAGCCAGTTATTACACAACAGCAGACCTTGCTCCTTCCAGAAGCCCAGTGAGTCCCCACCCAGCTGGGTTCTCTTTCAGCAAGGAGGAAGCTTCCGGTTCTCTGTTGAATAAGGAAACACGTACACATACATATTGCATGATGGAGTCTTGGAGGATGCTGTGGTGTTCCGGCAAGACTACATGACTTGGCCTCTCTCTGTCTTCGAGATCTTGGGCATCTGCTTTTATTTCAGTGCCTTTAGAGTGAACTTCTCAGATTGCGGTGAAGGTTATAGGAGATGAAAGATCTGCAAAGTTCTGGCTCAGTGATGGCACTCAGAGGGTCCTCGGTATTTCGAAATTTTAAAAGAGCTTTGTAAAATACGATTATGTATGTGGGTTATTACAGTCATGTGTCACATAACGATGTTTCAGTCAAAAAACAGACCGCATATATGAATTGGTCCCATGAGATAATGGAACCGAAAAATTCTTATAGCTTAGTGATGTTGTCACTATTGTAATGTAGCAGTAAAATGCTCATTGCTCCTAGGCTACAAATCTGTACAGCGTGTTACTGTACTGAACACTGTAGGCAACTGTAACACAATGGTGTTCGTTTATAAAGTCTATAGTAGTATACAGTAATGTCCCAGGCCCTCACATTCACTCACTCACTGATTCACCAGATCAACTTCCAATCCTGCAAGCTCCATTCGCGGTAAATGCCTTATATAGGTGTGCCATTTTAAAAATCTTTTATACGGTATTTTTACTGTATCTTTACCATGTTGCGATATGTTTAGATACACGAACACCATTGTGTTACAGTTGCCTACAGTGTTCAGTACAGTAACACGCTGTACAGATTTGTAGCCTAGGAGCAATGGGCTGTACTGTACAGCCTAGGTGCGTAGTAGGCTAAACCATCTAGGTTTGTGTAAGTGCACTCCATGATGTTCTCATAATGACAAAAGCGCCTAACCATGTATTTCTCACAATGTATCCCCACCGTTAAGTGACACATGACTGAATTCCAGAGTTAGAGTTTGGCATTGTCCCTCAACCCAGAACATGAAGACATACATGTAAATTCTGAACTCCTAGGCAAGCTTTGCAAACTCCTTTTTTCCAAGGCCTCCGTCTTGGAAATGTGCTCCTTATGAGTCCCGTAGTCTCATTACCTGGGCATGGAGGGGCTATGGAGGCAGCTCGGCTCCCTTTCCTGTTGCAACTAGCCCGTTATCTGGATTATACCACCACACTCATTGCCAGTGCAGTCAGGAGGGTAGGGGCTACCTGCCCTCCAGCCCGGCAGGCATGAGGATGCCAGGGCTGGAGGGAGTGTGCTCTCCTGGTCTGGGGCAGAGTTGGGGGCTGTTTCTTTAATTTCTTCCCTTCTCAGTCCTGCCCCTACAGCCCAAGAGAGGTACAATTATGAGGCTGATAGAAATTGGCTACATGTAAAGGGTGCTGCTCTATTCTTGCCCTCACTAGTTTTGGGGCAGCTTCAAGCTTTCCAGCTTTGGAGCAGTGAACAGTGCCGGGTTGACCTGTGTTTCCTAGAGGATGCTGTGTAAGCCATTGGAAAATAGATGAACATTTTACATTTTAATAATTAGGTTTTATCTGAATGTGAATTAGAAGAATTAGAACTAGCACACGAAAGCCACAATTTCAATGATATTATTGCTGAGGGTCAGGATAAGGAAAAAAATGAATTGATTTAGATTTTATTTAAAGAGAAATACTAAGTTCATAATAGTTCTTATAGAATGACGATATGGCATGATGGTGAAGGTTGTGCAGTAAATTTGGTTGCGCACACACACACACACACACACAAACACTAATAAGACCATGTTTCTTAAATGTGTGCAGCTCTCAGTCTTGGGTGGATAGGTGAGAAATGATTAATGCTTTGGAGAACAGAATGAAGAGTCACAAGGATCTCTAGAGTTTGAAAGATGGAAGAAAATCAACAAAATGAAATTAAGTGGGGGTCCATTCGTTTAAGAAATATCTATTGAGCACCTATTGTACGTGTGCCAGACACGACTCTAAGTGCAGAGGGTATAGAAGTGAGGAAAGAGACAAAATACTGCCCTCATGGAGCTCACGTTCTGGTTTAGGGAGACTGACAGATAAAATGAGTAAATAGAACTCATGATGTGTTAGGCAGTGATAAGTCCTAAATGGAAAGAAAGCAAGCAGGAAGAAAATAAGAAGTGTCAGAGGAGGGATGGCCTCAGTGTTGCAATTCTCGTTGAGGGTAGCCAGGGAAGGTGACTTTTAGCTGTGTGGGTAACCAGAGAGGAGCATTGCTGGAAGAGGGAACAGCAAGTGCAAAGGCAGGAGAGTTCCTGGCGTGTTTGATAATAAATTAGGGGGTAAACTAGGTTAGGTTTCTTTCATGCCCTGTACTTTTCTTTCTTAATCATAAATGCAATTAAATACTTTTCTAATTACCTTTTAAGCTTTCTTGGTGCAAGGCTGGGCCTCGATCCCTGCAAAATTCCGCTCAGCACAGGCCCTGGCACATAGTAGGTGCTCAACCATATCTTGTTGAGTAAATAAATAGCGTGATAAATGGCTTTTGGTCAAAAAATTTACTGCACAAGCAGAACAGCCTCGAGAGCAATTAGAGAGAAGAAGGCTAGAGAGTTGTAGCTGTGGTTGGGGCAGGGTGGGGATCTTAGGGGTGTGCACTGAGGGAAGGGGCCACCAGGAAGCTATGAGGAGCTGAGTGGGCCAGAGTTTTCCCAAAGGCAGGACAAGGTGGGTAGGGGCTGCAGAGCATGAGGTGTGGGTGAGAATAGTTAACTTGAAGCAGGAATATGACCCAATAGATATAACCCTTTAGAGCCTTCGCATTACCGACTTTAATGTTACACCCAGGGTTCAAGCCATGTGCACGTTGCTGCTGCATGAACTGGGATCCCTTTGTGTACCTTATTGTGCAGGAACAAACGACTTGGCTTGTGAGGGGCCGAGTAGTAAAATCTCTAAACCATTTTGTCGTTCTCTCCGTCACTGTACCATCTTTTTTCCAACAGGGGAAAACAGATTACAGGAGCATTTGAGACCCTGGGGATTCAAGAAGTTTCCTGTCATGGATAAGAATTCATTTCTTAAAACAAGTGCTTATTACTACCCAGTGTATGCCAGACCCTGAGCTGGATAGAGTGGTGGATAAGAGAGACATGGTGGGGTTCTGGTCAAGGATTTAGTGGGCTGTTTCTTGGAGCAGTGGTCTAAGCTGGTTGGGGGTCCTGGCTCCAGTCTGGTCTGCTGTGTGAATGGCCTTGAGCAAGTCACTCAGGCCATAGAGCGATGCGTCAGAGGCTTAGAGGTCATCTGGTGCAATCTCTTATTACTCAAGGGAGTATAGTCTCTGTACCCCACCCTACACCGTATGAGGCCTCAGAATCTTTAAGTATAAAATGAGGGCATTGAACCTTGAAGCTCGCTGGGGTTCTGTAATATTCTATAACATTACAAATATGGGGAAGTTCCAGGAGGGTAGATTTGGCTTCATCCCAAGTGTGACCTCTGTCCTCCATCTTTTAATACTGGGGTGGCGGGCGGGGTAATAGAGCCCAGTCCACGGAGATCTTTCTCAGGCATATTTGTGGGACTCGTAAGGAAGGCACTTGGCCCTCCTTGTCTCTGCAAAGTGGTCCCCAGGAGGTAGGGCTTGGAGGTGGGTCTTCAGTAGGATTCAGTCCATTTCTAAGATTTTCTAGACTGCCTCCCTCTCCTCGCTGCACCTGGATCCCCTGCGTGGGTCTTTTCTCTCCTCTTTTCTTCTTCACTTGGCCCCTTAGTCCCTTGAGCTCCTTTGTTCTCCTCACCGAAGGTCTGTCCTCTTCTGCCCCTCGAGGTCATCTGTCATTCAATTTCATTTAGGGCAAGGAGAAAGGGGCTTCTAATTCTCTGCAGGGCAGGGACTCTCCTTTGACTAGCAGGGGGCGTGGTGGAGTATCTAGGGGATGGTTTTCGCATGGCTAGGACTGACTTCCTCATAGCATATGTCTTGAGTGTTCATTATTCTGAGTCTCTGTTTGTCTTTCTTTTGAGATGCATTATCAAAGGTCCCAGTATCCTAGGCGCTAGGCTGGGGGCAGGGAGAAATAGCTTGCCTGCCATGTAAAGAGGAAATTTCAGAAATTTCTGAAAATCAGAGCTGCCCATTGCTTCAGTGGGGGTGGCTTGATGTTTCCTTCCAGGAATCTTGCAGCAGGTGGAAGGCTCACTCAATACCAGGTGCACTCTGGGGCTCTTCCACTTAACAGACTCTCTCTCAGGGCAAAGACAGAATCTATCCTGTGGGAAATCCTAGCGCTTCTGTTTCTGTTCCCCGTGCCCCAAAGGAGTATGTTTCTAAGTGTACATTTTGTTTCAGAGCCTAGGTGCCTCTGATTTGTAACCTGACAATGCAGTGCTTGATTTGATGGATGGACTTGGCACTGGGCGTTTGTAGAAGGGACAAAGGCTGGGCTCAGAAATGCTCCAGTGGCCACGATCCTGGATGGAGATGCCTGGTTTGAATGGGGTGGTACCTTGTGGATGATTGCTGGGTTGGGCAGGAGGAGGGACTTGGACACCGTGTTTTTCTGTTTCATTTCCAAATCCTGGAGTGTCTTTTAGCCAACAATGACAGTAACACCTTTATTAACCTCCTAGTTTCTCTTAGTGCTGTAAAGTGCCTTTCCTCTCCAACTCTTGTAGGTAGATTCTTCCTTGAGAAGTTTCTCTCTCCTCTGTCGGCATCTCCAGGGCATTTAGATGCTCCATCTGAACTACCTCTATCTTCTTTCCCCTTGAATGTCCCTCCTTTCTTCCCAATCGCCTTCTCCAGGAAGACTTCCTTAAATGATCCTCAGTGATGTTGCTCAGAGCCATTGCTCCCCATCCCCAGCACGGAAGTTCAGGCTTCCGGCTGCTTCCTTGTCGTGGGGACATGCCCAGCTCTCCCACAGCCTGGGAGTCTGAGGGCAGGGTCTGAGTCTCCTACTTCTCTGGGCTCTGCACGTGCCGGGCACCTATTCTCCAGGTGTGTCAGAGTAGGTCAGCTGGACTCAGTGACAGACACAGTCAGGCCAAGAGCATCTTGCTCTCCAAGGCCCAGCCCAGGCACAGGAGGGGATAAAAGTCTCGTGCCAGAGCCTCAGGGCAGGAACTCATACACCTTGACTCTTCTCTGTCTGCAGCTGTGTGATTGTGGGTCTCTGCCATGTCTCTCTCCCCATGCCGGGCCCGGAGGGGTTTCAGTGCTCGCTCAGCCTGTTCTGCTCGCTCCAGGGGCCGAGGCAGGGGCGGCTTCAGCAGCAGGAACCTCAATTCCTCCCGGGGGTGCCGAGGAGGCTCTCTTGAAAGAGCTTGGGGGTCAAGGGGAAGGCTAGGGGTGTGGTTTGGGGAGGACAGTGGTGGGCCTGGGCTTTCCCTGTGCCCTCCGGGGGGCATCCAGGAAGTGACCATCAACCAAGATCTGCTGACCCCACTGAAGATTGAGATTGACCCCCAGTTCCAGGTGGTGAGGACTCAGGAGACCCAAGAAATCAGAACTCTCAACAACCAGTTTGCTTCCTTCATTGACAAGGTGAGGGTCAACTCAGCTAGGCCCCTGTCTCAGTGCCTCCCTTGAAGAAACTGTTCTCAGTGGCCTTGAGAATGAGAAAGTCTGGCCTATCACTTTTCTAATTACTTCTGCAGCAAGGAAGTCCCTTTGTGGTCTAACTGGAGTCCCTCTGGTTATGCTGAGGCCCTGCTGTTCCATAGTTGGGGCTCAGTGGCAGAAAATAGCCAGCCAGCAGTGAGAAGGCCTTTTCTCATTAGTCCTTCAGGCTGTTTTGATGTGCTCAGAGTCTTGTAGAAGGGCATGAGTCAGTCCCTGCCCAGGCTGGGTTGGGAGGCAGGGGAAAGGTGGGCTGACTGGAGGGAGGGTCCCTGAGGCTTCACTTTTTAGAGGCTATGCCCAAGGAGTTCCACAGAGGCCTCAGGAACCCTCTGCTTTTGCTGCAGGTGCGGTTCCTAGAACAGCAGAACAAGGTCCTGGAGACCAAGTGGCACTTGCTACAGCAGCTGGGGGTGAGTGACAGCTCCCAGGGCCTGGAGTCTTTCTTTGAGGCTTACCTGACCCAGCTCAGGAAGCAACTGGAGGAGATCCAGAGACAACGAGGGGCTCTGGACGCTGAGCTGAAGTCCTGCCAGAACCAGGAGGAGGAGTACAAGGCCAAGTAGGCAGATCACAGTTCCCCATGGGGCTTGGGTAGGGTCTGGGAGGGCTGGATCGGGGTTGTCAGCTGAGGGTCTCCCACACACACGTGACTGGGCTCCCCTCTAGCCCCTCTGCATCCCATTCCCTCTGACTCTCAGGGTGCCCCATCTGCTGCAGGTAAGGAGGCCCTGCTGACCGTGATACCCAGGTTTGGAGAGCCTCAGTTCCAACAGCCCCAGCTCCCAGACCCATGTTTCTTGTCAGGCCTTGGAGGGGCTTATTTAAACAATGTCTCAGTGGGTTTTTCTTGAGAAATTCCTGTTGAACAGGATGTGGACTAAAGTGACTCAGATGTTCTCTGGTTTTAGGAGTAGAAGGGAATCCGTTTCGTGGGACCATCCCCAGGCTCTTGGCATGATTCATAGCCAGGCTGTGGTTCTGGGCTCTCCACCTAGGCTCACCTGGAGGTGTGGAGAGAGCTCTGGACTACAGGAGGCTTGGGTTCAGTGACTGTGAGCAAGGGGTAGCTGTGTGGCCTTGGGCAAGGCATTTTACCTAGCCCAGCCTCAGTTTCCATATCTGAAAACTGGGAAGATGTCACTTGACCTTCTTACCTCCCAGAGCAGTTGGGAAGATGGGATAGAAGGTGAAGCGGGCCCTGGAAGAAGCCCAGGACTGGGGCCAGGAGACCTGGGTTTTAGGTCTGTGTGACTAGTGAATCATCTATGACTTGGGCAAGTTGTATAATCTCTCTGATAAAATCCAAACAGCCTGCTTCAAATGATGATTGTAATAAGTGAGAAAAGGTGTTTGAATGTGCCTTATATAAACGTGAAGTAAGGTGGCCTTATGTCATTAAGGGGACATGGGCTGAAAGAGTAGAGATGGACCTAGCTAGGATGTGACAAAACTTCCTGATAGGAAAGGTAGAGACACAGGCTGGTTGTTTGTCTTGCTTTGGAGCATCTAAAGGCAAGAATGGCCTTTCAGGGAGGTTGTGCTTGGGGGAGCAACATGAGCTCTGATCTAGGTACCTCAGGCAGCATCCCTCTGTACTTACTTGGCAGGTATGAACAGGAAAGCCACAAGCGCGCTACGGTCGAGAACGACTTTGTGGTCCTCAAAAAGGTGAGGGTTGAGTTGGTTGCTCCACTTGGATCCTTGGGCTGGGAGGGCAAGGGGCAGGAGATCTTATTGCAGAATACACTCTCATGCTGCCTGCAGGGGTCCCCCAGGGAAATGGGACTTCTACCTAGACACAAAGACCCCAGGACAAGATTTGAGGACCATGTGATGAGTTTTGGGTGTCACAGCTGGAGAGGGTGAAGAGGGAGTAAAAGAGGCAGAACTGGTTGGGATTAATCAGGAAAGGCTACCTGAAGGTGGTGTGGGTCAGTGTCAGGCAAAAGAGAGAGCAAGGCAGGGTGGGGCTGGAGGAGGAAGGAGCGGGTCTCCAGAGATGGCCGAGTGTGGGCGTTGGGCAGTATGTGAACAGAATTCTTGAGCAGAGTAGGGTCCACAGAGAGGAAGTTGGGAACACACGGTTTCTATTTCTTTGTCCCCAGGATGTCGACGAGGTTTTTCTGAGCAAGATGGAGTTGGAAAGCAAGCTGGAGGCTCTCAGAGAGTACATCTGCTTCTTGAGGCGTCTGTATGAAGAAGTGAGGATCTGCCAAGGGCAGAAGTGGTGGTCTCCAAGGGCAGGTGGGAGTGAGGGGAGGTGACAGGGGAGGCAGGCTCCCTCTTGTTACAGTAGGAGGGGCCAGGAGGTGAAGCTTGGTTAGGGTGACTTAGACCACAGTCATTTAGTCAGAATATACTACGTAGATTGCCAGGTATTGGGGATACACCAGTGAATAACCTGACAAAAGTCACAAAGCTTGCTTTTTATTGAGAGATGAACAATAAATGATAGACCTAATAAATAAGTAATTTATATAGTATATTAGAAGGTGATACATGCTATGGAAAAAAGGAAAATTAAAACAGGGAAAGGATTGGGAATGTGGGGGGTAGGGCAGGTGGCAATTTCAAATAGGATGGTTAGGGTGGCCTTATTTAGAAGATAAAATTTGAGGAAAGCTTTGAAGACGGTGAGGAAGTGAGCCATGCAGGCGGGAATTGGAGATTCTAGGATGAGGGAGCGGCCCATAGCCAGAGAGTGTGCTGGTGTCTGAAGAAATACAAGGAGGCTGAGTGGCTTGGGCAGCAGAGGTGAGAGGGAGGGGAGGGTGATAAGAGGTTGGAGGAGTGATGGGGACCAGGTGACTCCTGGTCTTGCAGAACATTTTCTTCTAATGTCCAAGCTGCAAGAGCCATTGGAGACTACCTCCTATAGCCGTCATTTCAGATGAGGAGACAGCTGTGCAGAAGGCAGGGCATGCTCAATGCCACCCGGTGTGACTGAGGGCTGCCCCCTGACAGAGTGTGGGCGGGATGTCAGTCATCCTGCCCACCTGTACGGGGCTCCAGAGGGAAAGGCGATTGGGGGTGGGTGGACACTGAGTCAGTCTTCCCTGCAGGAGCTGGGCCAGCTCCATACCCAGGCCAGTGACATGTCTGTGGTGCTGTCCATGGACAACAACTGCTGCCTGGACTTCAGTGACATCATCGCTGAGGTCCGTGCCCTGTACAAGGAGATCGCTCAGACCAGCAAGGCCGAGGCTGAGACGCTGTACCAGACCAAGGTGCTGGGTCCGGAGGGCAGCTCCATGCTGGCAAAGGCTGGGTCTTTATGCTCATATCCCAGGGTGATCGTCCACCTCAGTCCCATTGAGCAGTTTTGATAACCTCCCTGAAGCTCTAGGGATGGGTGGGCACGACCATTTCCCTCCTCCAGGAGGGAGGCAACCCGGGGAAACTGTGGGAAACAAGCCTGGACTTCTGCAAGCACATCCCACCATGTCCTGGTGTCGTGCTTAACCCACATTCCAAATGAGGATGTGAGGAGGAAAAGAATGGGGACATGGGATTTCTCATGGTCTTGATGTCAAAGGTGAGGGTCCTTTCAATTGACGGTGCTACCTCTGTCCCCCCTCAGTACCAGGAACTTCAGGCATCTGCCCAGCTTCACGGGGACTGCATGAAGGAAACCAAAGTCCAGATTTCTCAGCTGCAGCAGGCGATTCAGAAGTTGCAGAGTCAGATTGAGAACCTCAGGAAGCAGGTGGGGGTCCCAGGGCTTCTCAAGCCCTACCTCTTACGGCTTTTGTGCCAGAGTCACCGCTGGGTTTGTGTGAAACCTTGATAGCTGGCTGGAGCTTTTGATAATATGAGATGGAGAGAACTTCAAGCCCCATTTAAGAGGACTTCAGCCTCCTTCCTATGAATTCAAGGTGCATGGGCTCTGCATTGAACAACTCCAGGGGGTGCTGCTCATACTGCATTCTATGTCTGGGTGTACATCTTGCTCTAAGCTCCTTGGGGAGAGGGTTAATTTGTCTCTTTTCTTATCTCTTCTTTTGACTCTTACTCTTCAAGCTCAGCAAGGACTCTAAGGCCATGCACTGAGTTTCCTGGTCCCCTGTTGAGGAGGGTGAGAGCCGGGACCTTAGCGAGCAGATGACGCGGGCAGTAGAGTGGGGTGAGCTGAGCCCTCCTTAGGAGGTGACGCTGTTGGTGCTGGGCACGGGAAGGAGCAGGAGAGGTGGAGGGAGAGGAGAGCAAGGGCAGGGAGGTGGTTTCCTGCTCCTCCTGGAGATTGGTCCCCTGTTGAGGAGGGTGAGAGCCAGGACCTCAGTGAGCAGATGACGTGGGCAGTAGAGTAGGAAACCACCTCCCTGCCCTTCCTCTCCTCTCCCTCCACCTCTCCTGCTCCTTAGGAGGTGATGCTGTTGGTGCTGGGCATGGGAAGGAGCAGGAGAGGTGGAGGGAGAGGAGAGGAAGGGCAGGGAGGTGGTTTCCTGCTCCTCCTGGAGACCTCATTTCTAGATGTGAAGGGTTTTAAATTCTTAGGTTTTCAACCGTCTTTAAGCTGACTTTCCTCAAATCTGAAGAATCGGCATTGAGAGCTGAGACCACAGAGTCAGGTGGTTTTCTCAAGCACTTCAGCTTGACTCCCAGTGGCATGTGGCCCATCCACTCCCAGCGGGGCCCTCCTGGGAGAGTCCTTGGAGCACAGTGCATTCAAAGGCCAGACTCAGTCTCCAGGCGTCCTTATCTGCTCTTCTTTGGATTGTGATGCAGAACCAGAAATCCTATTATTCAATTTGCTGCCACAGTGTTTTCCCATAAATTTGGACCCTTTACTTTGGAATTCCTGGGGTGTCTGTTAAGATGCAGATTCCAGGGCCTCCTGCCAGACGGAGGGAATCAGGGTTTCCAAGACTGCTTTCTACACTAAGTATACTCAGGTGACGTGAACACATGAAGTCTCAGCCCAGCCGCCAGCACTTAAGAGCGGGTACCACGTCCCCAGACCTGGAACTACAGCTCCCCCCCATAAAAGCTTCCTGTGAGAACTCCTCTTGGGGATACACCCCCTCTTACTCCCCCTCTTTATGTTCGAGCCTGATGAACCGAGCTCACCTGCTCCAGGCCCTGGGAGGAGCCATGCAGGCTACAGTTAGGGCAGTGGGCTGGACATCAGCTGTCCTGGGTTAGGGTCTGTCACTTACCACATTTCTGAGCCTCAGTGTCTTCATTTATGGAATGGAGATGACATTCTCTAACTGCAGGGTGCTTGTGTGGGAATAGAATAATGAGAGCCTTTAGGGAATGCCTTCTTTCCTGAACCAAACGTGAGGGTCAGTCAGCTGGATGGCCGATTAGACTGCGGTCTTGTTCTACTACTAGTTTTCTGTGGCAGTGGAGAGGTTAGTACAGAGAGTGTATTTTTCAAACCAGAAATGGAGACACACGGTCTGATAAACTCTGAAAATAAGATCAAATATTTGAAATGGGGCTGTTCTAAAAACAATCAAGGACCATGGTGGTTCTAAAGATGAGACTTGCAGATAATAACCTGAACAGGACAGGAAGAGCTTTAAGTACTCTGGGAGAGATTCAGGTTAAGTGCTGAGGGTTGGGGGTGGGAAGAAATAGAGATCACCTGAGGTGGCAAAACGTTGGATTAGTTTCCTATGGCTGCTGTAACAACGTACCACAGACTTGGTGGCTTGAAACAACAGATGTTCATTTTCTCAATTTTGGAGGCTGGAAGTATGGAATCAGGTGTCAGCAGAGCCACACTCCTTCTGAAGGAGCTAGCGGGCAATCCTTCCTTACCTCTTCCTAGCCTCTTGTTGCTCACCGTATGGCCCCAATCTCTGCCTCTGTCTCTGTGTATATTTTATCTCCGTGTCTGTCTCTGTGTCCTCTCATCTTTTTCTAGGGTCACCGGTCATTGGATTTAGGACTCACCCTGAATATAATACAATAGCATCTTGAGATCTTTAATTACATCTGCAAAAACCTTATTTCCAAATAAGAGCACATCCGATGTTCTAGGTAGATATGACATTTTGGGGGGCGCTATTCAACCCATTATAAGAGGTAAGGAAGAGAAGAGGCAATAATTTCCTTTAGAATGGGAGCAGCTGGGAGGTGGCCAAGGATAATTTTGAGATTATGAAATTATAGTTCACCCAGTCTTCAAGTTATGTCCACAGTTGGTGCTTTGGAAGGTCATGTGCTTACAGCCATTTCCTCCCTCATTTCCACACCTCAAGGATAATTTTGAGATTATGAAATTATGGTTCACCCAGTCTTCAAGTTATGTCCACAGTAGGTGCTTTGGAAGGTCATGTTGTGCTTACAGCCATTTCCTCCCTCATTTCCACACCCCTCCCAGAATGCCAGTCTGGAGGGCGCCATCACCGATGCTGAGCAGCGTGGGGAGTTGGCCCTCAAGGATGCTCAGACCAAGCTGGCTGAGCTGGAGGCTGCTCTGAGAACTGCCAAACAGAACATGGCCCGGCTGCTGCGTGACTACCAGGAGCTGATGAGCACAAAGCTGGCCCTGGACGTGGAGATCGCCACCTACCGCAGGCTGCTGGAGGGCGAGGAGTGCAGGTGGGGCCTGTCGGAGGGACCTGGGAATATGTGCTTGAGGTAGGGTGGGTGGAGGATGGAATGCCAACACAGAGCTTTCTTTGCTAAGGGGGATTCTGAGAGACTTCCTGACACTTTAAGCCACTGAAGGCAACCCATTCTGCTGGGAGGGATTTTAAATTGAGGACCATGGATTTTAACTGCTGATGGGATGTGAGCTGCTCAAAGTGGCTTACAAGTGCTGGGGATACATTCTTTACAGCCCTTCTTAGCAGTTGCTCTTATCCTTTCTCCTCCAGGATGTCTGGAGAATGTACCACCCAGGTCACTGTCTGTGAGTATCAGGGGACTTCGGGAGAGGGGTCCCCATGGGGAGATGAGGACCTGCTGTGACCTTGGTGCATTTCTTGGCAGCCATCGGGGGAGACAGTGCCGTCTTGTCTGGAGGAGCTGGTGATAGCCTGGTGGGCACATGTGGACTTGGAGGCAGGAAAGGCAGTTTTGGGCCCAGCTGCTCCAGCGTCGTGACTGGAGGCTCCAACATCATCCCGGGCTCTGGGCAAGGCCCCGTTATGGGATCTTGCTCTGTGCCCAGCTCTGGCTCCAGCTCCAGCTGCCACACCATCCTGATGAAGACAGTTGAGTCAAGTCTCAAGACATCCATCACATACTGAGTGCTGTGGCAGCAACTTGCTCTCCTACCTTCCTGAGTGTTCTCAGCCCTGCCCCCATCCTCATCACTCCCATCCCTGCTTGGCTAGCTATGTGTTCACTGCCTACCACCTGAGACAGCCCACGGGGGATACTGCAAAAGTCAATAAAGTCATGCCTGCCTGCTATTCTGAGTGCTCCTCTACTCTGGTCTTGCTCTGAATACTGATTTGTCTAATTTATCTGATGCCCACCCCAGGCCAAGGTGTTCAGTGCCCCATCCTCCAGCCAGCCACCCTCATCCTCTTCTCTCACCACGGCCTTCAGGCTGAGCTGGGAAAGCTCTGGGTGGGGCTTGGCCAAACCGTATCCCTATCTCAAGTATTTTCTTCTGGGGATTGGGGAAGGTCTGAGGACCACTGACCAGAGCCTAGAAGCTAGAACCAAAGGTCACCTGCTCCTGGGCCTCTATTTCTCTAATTCTTACAGCCTTTGAAGCAGCTCCCAATTCTTCCTGGAGATAAGTCTTTCTTCCTCTCTTCCCCGCCCACACTCCCTCCCTCTCACAAATGGTATTGAGCGCAAACCACATTTGAGGCACTTTTCTAGGACTGGGGCTACTTTGGCAAGCAAGACAAAACCCATGCTTGCCCTCCTAATGGGTTCAATCTCTCCCACTCCTTCGGTTTCTGGTGTCTCCAGCATAACCTGCCCCACCCCCTGCCCCCGACTCATGAGGACCGATCTGCCTTTTCAGAGCCCTTGGCCTCTGAGGCCAGCGGCCAGTCTCCTGTGGTTAATTCAGACACCCTGGACTGAGAGATGGGGATTTGTGGTGAGGCCCTTTTGTGTCCTATTCCTTCTTCTAGTCCTTTCCTCATGATGCCCCAGCTCCGGCTCCATTCAGGATGGCAAACCTGAGTCTTGTCACCTCTCTCATTTCTGTCCCATCTCTCATTTCTGAGCTTTGACTCGGCCCTTCTCCTGGACAGAGATGCCCTAGGAAAGTTAATAATTCAGCACTGATGCTGAACAATAGCCTTAAATATGTGACCCGAGGGCATTTTGAGGAGAGGCTGAAGGGCAGGGACAAAGGTTCTCTGTGGCAACATGCAGCATCTCTGCCACTCCTTCCAGCGAGTCAGCTCAGCCCCCAGGTTTACACATCTCACCCAGCAAAATAAAAGCTGTGCCACTGCCCAGCCCACTCTCCATAGAAGGCGATCTATAGATTATCTGTGGTTGTTTGGGTTATATCCTATCTTACCCTAGTCAGCTTATCAGAGGCTTCCTTCCAGCCCCCAGTATGCTCCCTGGGGTGCTCTCCATCTCCTCCATCTCCACTGATATTTTAGCATCTCTCATAGCTTGTTCCCTGGTTAATTCCCCAGAATAGGCTCTATTCCTGACCCAGTACAGCTCTCTTCATCCCTGTTCCTCCTTCTTCCCATGCGCCAGATTTTCTTCCTCCTGGAAACCTTCCCTAATTGCCCCTGTCTGAGTCCACCAGACTCTTCTTGTCCCAGGCACAGCCTTGCTGCTCCCATTGCTGTCCGGGGCTCTGTTTCTGTCTGTTCTGTTCTGGAACCTAGCTTCTCTATTAGCCCGGGACCTCTGGGTGGTGTCTTCTCCTGCACCCAGGACAAGGATCAGCAGCTCGGCTTGTGCTGGGGGCTCGGATGGGAACTTGGGACTAGAACTAGGCTCCGTCCCCCTTACCCTTGGCTCTATCCCATTCATGGGCCTGTCTGAACATGTGACCGGAAGCTTCTTCTCCTTCCCTCTTCGGTAGGAAGCCAGGAGAGTGGGCATCAGGTTCTAGGAGGGGAGGGAGGGCCACCTCCCCCACCCCACCACAGCAGCTGCGTTGGCTCCTGCACTGCCCCTTTTCTTCGGTAGGAAGCCAGGAGAGGGGGCATCAGGTTCTAGGAGGGGAGGGAGGGTCACGTCCCCCACCCCTACCACAGCAGCTGCGTTGGCTCCTGCACTGCCCCTTCTGTCTTCTCCCTCCCCACCTAGGCCTGCTCCAGACTCCATGGCTTGGGCTGCAGAAGGTCACACCATTCCTCTCTGCGTTAAGGGGAGGTCATCCCTTTTCTAAGGATCTTGGGTCTCTCCATCAAAAGTATCCAAGAAAGAGGCTTTTCAGCGCTCTGTGAGGGAGGCATGAGTGGATGAGCATCAGGCTCTGGAGCTAGAATTCTTGGGCTCGAATCCCAGCTCTGCCATTTACTAGTGGTATGACTTTGACTAAGTTATTTAACATTTCTATGCTTCAGTTTTCTCATCTGTGAAAAGACATTAATAATAATACCCATCTCGCAGGGCCATGTGGGGATGGTCCCATTCGAGATCCCAGAAGGAAGCAAATTTACCCATGACGGTTCAATTCAACGGACTTTAATGAAAGGATTACTTATAGAGGTGTGGGCATGGCAAAGGAAAGAAATGCAGGATGCAGAGACTCGAGGCTGGCAGCACTGGGAAGCCATTGCCACCTTAGAGCTGGGTGGCAATCATCTGGTTTGTCCGGGCCAAGGGGTTTTCCGGAAGGTAAAACTTTCATTGCTAAACCGGGACAGTCCTGGGAAAATCAGGTCAAGGTGGTCACACTACGTAGAGCTGGACAGACAGGAGAAGTGGAGTGACTAGATGTTAGAGTTGCAAGAAGTGTGGAGGGAGACCACCTAGAAAGAGGATACAGACGGCACTGAAGCAGAGAGGGAGCGGGAAGAAATACCTACTCTCTCTTCCTCCCTCCCAGATCTCCTGCTAGGGTCTCCCCTTGGCAAACCCACCTGGAAACCAGAAAACAAGGGAGCAGCCTACCAGTGTCAAGGGGGTTGGCAAATGGAGATGGGGTGAAAAGGAGGCAAATATCCAATGTGGAAACTAAAGGTGTTATTGCATAGAAAATACACAGGCTCCTGTCTGCTCTATAGTAAGTTCTCAATAAATGCTGAGTATAATAATCGTGACTATTAGATTAGAAGGGTATATTGCTGTATAACCTCCTCGAGGGCAGCAACTGTGTTTTCTTTACTCTTGTATCTTTTCTATTGCTCAGTACCCATCTTGGCCCATGTTGAGTGCTCAGTTGTCTTGCCTCATCCCTCATTCCATCACCTCTTGTCCTGCTGCAAAGAAGGACCCTGGGCAGGTGACCGTCTCCAGAGATGGAGGCCCTTGAACCGAGGAGCAGCAGCAGGAGGAAACTGCTCCTCCTTGGGCTGCAGAAAGAAGGTCTGAGTTTGAGTGTCCTGTATGAAAGTCGAGTGGAGAGTCAGGGCGGAAGGAGGTACAGTGGCTCCCAAACTCTCTCTGGGCTGGTACTGGTGAGACTTCCTGCCTGGGTAAGAGAGAGGATGTCTCCAGAAGGTAACTGTGGGAGTAGGCCCTGGGTTGCCTGCTTCTCTGTCACCAGCTTCCAACACAAAGTCTGGCACAGAGTGCCAGGTAAATATGTATAGATGTCAGTCTCTGGGGAGGGGTGGAATGTGTGTTTGCAGCCCACTCTACTCTCACCACCCTGTCTGCTCCTGACTCAGAGGGCTGACATCACTCTTTTCCCCAGGGAGGGGGGCCCCACTCACAACTGTCTCTCCCTCCCACGTCCCCATTGCGGAGAGATAAGGGAGGCTGAGAAAGTAATCACAGCCTCTGGGGCGGGAGACAAAGGTTAGTGGGAAGTGACTGTCCTGCAATCTCAGGCCAGTGCTTTTTGAAAAGTCTCATTGGCGGGCCCTGCTTACAGGCAGAAACAAGGAGGCCCAGAGAGGTTGAGAATTGATTGAGGACACACAGCTCGGTGGGGTTTTATCTCTCCCCTCACCTCTCCCCAAAGGCCTGGTAACCTAGCTCCAAGCAGGGAGGAAAATCCCCTCTTGGGAGTTAAGGGTCTAGTTCTGTGAGTGCCCTTCACTCTACGCCTCATGGGGATAGATTCAACTTCTGGAAACTGGAATCCACTTAGAGTTTCCCAGTGGCGCTAAAAAACAATCCTTCCTCTAGGCCTGGAGTGGGCCTTCTCTCCGCCTGCTTTTCTTGGGCTGTGGAGGTGGTCCCACAGCCTCTCCTTTGGGATCCTGAGGACCGAGGCCTGGCAGCTGCGTGAGGAGCACAGACAGTGCTGTCTTCACTCCTTCCCTCAGACAAGTCTCCCTCCTCTCTGCGTGCCCCCGTCACCCCCAACACTTTTTTGCTGAAAGCTGAAGTATGTGAGGAAGGACAATCTCTAAAGTCACCCACTCAATTCTCCCTCATTTTAACATTTGATTAACATTTGCTGTCTTGAAGTCTTTCCTCGGGGCTGCGTTTGGTCCCAGTAGCCTGAGGGGGGTGGTGTGCAGAGGGGACTGTGTGAAGTGACTTGAGGAGTCCCCTGGCTCTTTCTGAATCAAGCACTGGGGCTCCTTATGGACAGGAATGTTAGGGTTCTCCATGGGCCTCTTGGGGCTTTTGTTGAATACATACTTCTTGGATCTGTATCTACGTCCAGCCAGGATGGGATGTGCTCTCCGCCCACCTCCAGCTCCCTCCAAAGTGGCTGGGCCCTTCTGGGGAGGCTCTGCTTTAAGCAGAGGGTTGAAGGGGGTGGTCTCAGGTGATGGTTGAAGCCCCCTACCTCTCTTGATCCCCTAGAAGAGTATGCTTTGCCCCCTCACCTTTGAGGCTTCTGGGCACTGCCTAAGGAGCCCAGGTCTTTCCATGTCCTTGTCAAATGTCCAAGTCCTGTGGCTGAGCAGGAACCTTCTTTCTATCCTTGCGTCCACTTTGCCCAGTACAGGGTCTCTGCCCAGAGGACAGTCTGCCAGTGTATGACAAAAGAACAGATTGCCCCCACTCCCACTCTGTCACCTTGTCCCCCACCCAGACCCGACAGGGGGCAATGAGGCTGTGGGCTGGGAGGCGGAACTGGAGCAGGCCTAGGCACTCTCTCCACAGCCCATTGCCCAACGCTCCCTCCCTCACCACCTGCACAGCCCGGGCCCTGGGGCCTTGGCTTACAACAGGGGCCAGGGACAAACCCCACAGAACAGAGCCCCATTGATGGCGGCCACCAGGGCTGGGTGGGAGGAGACCAAATCAGCCACTGGGTGGTGGAGGTGGCCATGGGAACCCATATCATCCTGTTCCAAGGCAGGAGAGCCGCAGGTGGGAGAAGGTGGCATCCTGCCCCAAACAGTCTTGACTCAGCCCCAGCTCTGGAGCACAGGTGATAACTGGGAGCAGCTCCTCCCTCCTGCTGAGGGAGAAGGGATTCCCCACCCACCACCCCCAGCCCACAGGGCCCTTCCCTCTCCTCCTGGGGCAATGGGGCAGGAGTGTCTGTGGAAGTGGGGTGCCAGCCCAGTTGGGAAAAGATAAAAAGCCCATCAGTGGCCCAGCAACTCACTGTGCTTCCTCCTCGCTCTCTCAGCCTGTGCTCCGGCCACTCTGACAGCCATGCGGTCCTCTGTGTCTCGGCAGATGTACTCCACCAAAGGGGGCTTCAGCTCCAACTCTGCCAGTGGAGGCAGTGGGTCCAGGGCCCATACCAGCTTCAGCTCAGTGACGGTGTCCCGGAGCAGTGGTGGGGGGCTCCGCTCTGGCCCTAGCATGGGTGGCTTTGGCAGCCGGAGCCTTTATAACTTGGGGGGCAACAAGAGCATCTCGGTCAGTGTGGCTGGAGGGGCCTCTTCAGGGCGAACCATAGGAGGCTTTGGCCATGGCAGTGGGGCCTACATGGGCCTGGGGGCTGGAAGGCAGACAATGGGGCCTGTCTGTCCTCCTGGCGGCATCCAGGAGGTCACTGTCAACCAGAGCCTGCTGACCCCCCTCAATGTGGAGATAGACCCGGAGATCCAGCGGGTGCGCACCCAGGAGCGGGAGCAGATCAAGACCCTCAACAACAAGTTCGCCTCCTTCATCGACAAGGTGGGCTGAGGTGGAAGCGGGTAGAAAGGGCCCCTGGAGTAGAAGCAAGGCCTCTAAGGGTGGGCTGGGCGGAGGCTGTAATAGCCCGTATGCACTCAGGTGGGGGTTGATGGGATGACTTTTGGAGCCCCTCTGGCCTGAGCTTAGGATGCCCAGATGTGGTTGGCAGGAGAGAGTCTCTGGATCTTTACTGTAATTGCTCAGGTGAATCTGCATCTACTCATGAAGCCTATTGGCCAAGAGCACCCTGACCATGCTTAGTCCTTCCTAGGTCGTTATTAGTAGCATTACACAGAAGCCTTAGCTCACATTACATAGTGAGTTGTCTTCATTGCTCCTCTTAGCAGGTGGCCCTTATTGCCTTTTGTCATTTGACAGCTAGGAAACTGGCTCAAGTGTCAAACAAATTACCCAAGGAGCTCCATCTGTTCCCTATTCTCTCAGTCTTGGTCGAGGCCGAAGGACAAAGATGTGATCAGGACACATGTGATTGTGGGGGATATAGTCTTAGGGGAAGTCTCCTTTTTGCTTTTCCTATTCTTTCTCCCTGTTTCAGCCGAGAAGTTGTTTGGGGTGGATAATGACGAGGGCAGTCACCAGGTCATCACGACCTGGGGTGTGGAGTTTGATCTGGCCCAGGTTGGGAGCATCCTGGTTCCCTCTCTTGCATCCAGGAGGGGTTTGGGGTGGCTCTTGTACTGTTCTCTGGCATTTCCAGGTCAGTTTTGCTGGCGATGTCTACCCCCACCCTAAACCCCAAGCAGTGACATCACGATGAGGAAAATCCTGGTGATTGACTATAACTTGGTTCAGTGATTTGTGTGTTCCCGAGGGACATTCATGTCCCCTTTCTCATATGATACCCACAGTGTCCCATGAGGAATCACAATAAGTAATATTGTGTCCATTTTTAAGAAGAGAAAACTGGTTTAGAGAAGTCATGCGATTTGCCCAGGCTCATATGGGTACTCAGAGACAGACGTGGGCCTGGACGCAGGGTCATGAACCTCATGGTCTTTGGCACTAGAAAGGCTCATTACTGCTCATGGCAGGTGCACCTGCTGCATGGTGTCCCCTGGGCCATGTGACTGTGGGCCTGGGGTGCTGTGGGGGTGGGACCTTGAGAGACTGGATGGCAGAGGGTGAAGCAAGCCATTCCGCCCACCCTCCTCACCTTCTCACCTAGAGACTTTTGGTTCTTCTCTGGGACTGTCTCAGAGGTTAAACAAGCAAAAATTCTCTCTCATGCCCTATGAATCATGACCCGGTTGCTGGAGGCCTGAAAGGTTGTCTGTATTTGGTGTCCATGAATCTTGGCCGGGCAGAGAATCCCCCATGCCACAAGCCCCCTTCTGAGTCTTTTGAGATAAGGCTGGGCATTGATATTTAAAAAAAAACTTAAAAAAAGAAGTCAGATTTGCAGAAAAGTTGCAAGAATGGAACAATATACTCCTGTATACTCTTTCACCCAGATTCACCAATTTTAAACATTTTGTCACATTTGTTTTCTTTCTCTTTCTGTATGTGTGTATATATATATATAAAATCACAAATATATACATATATAGCTGTATATACTATATATACAGATACATATGTATGTGCATTTTTAACAGTTGATTTTGATGTAGAATTGTATTCAGAAACATTGATCTAGTCCAATTTGCCCAGGGCAAGTGAGAAAAGGAACTTGACTGTCACCAATAGTAAATGACTGAGCTGGGGCTTTTATGTTCGTTAACTCTTTAGGGTCCTTGTCATTATATTGGACTATTTTTTTCCAGCAAAGATTGTTCTCTCAGGAACTCTTCTCCTCACACGATGTAGGTCCTGCACTGCCCCTGCAATGTCCTCATCATGGACAGATGGTGGTGATAGGCCCCATTCTCAGTCCCTCCTCTGTCCATCCCAGCCCCGGGGAATGATGCCAGCCCAGTAACCTTCTTGCTCTGGCTCAGGTGCGGTTCCTGGAGCAGCAGAATAAGGTATTGGAGACCAAGTGGGCGCTGCTGCAGGAACAGAGCCAGAATTCAGGTGTCACAAGAAACAACCTGGAGCCCCTGTTTGAGACCTATACTGGCAACCTGCGTAGGCAGCTGGATAACCTCCAGGGAGAGCAGGGAAGGCTGGACTCGGAGCTGAGGAACATGCAAGATCTCGTTGAGGACTTCAAGAACAAGTGAGGAGGGCTGACAGGCTGGAGTTATATGGGGATGGGAAGGGGGCTTTGTGGGAAATCTCCTCAGAGAGGGCCACCCCATTCTTAGGGCCTTGGGACTTGCCTGGGGGATGCACAGTCAGAGCTGCTTCCCTCAGGTGCTGAGGTGCTGGACCCACTGCTTCCTGCAGAATTGGCACACTTGTCTGTGTATTGTTGTTCATAATTTCAAAAATTCTTTATTACAAGGTAAGGAGAATAGTGTAATAAATCTGTATGTTCTCATTACCCAGCTTTAATAATTACCAACATAGTCAATCTTGTTTCATCTGTACTCCTACTCACTTTCCCTCCTCCCTTATTCTTTTGAAGCAAATCCTGGCCATCGTGTCATTTAATTCACAAAAATTTTACTGGGATGTTCAGATAGTTCATCTACATAACTTGACTTAGTAAACATAAACACAATGCCATAATCACACCTAAAATTTTTGAAATAGTAATTCTTTAATATCATCAAATATTCAGTCAATTTTGAGCTTCCGATTATCTCATTAATGTCATAAATTTACAAAAATACTTTGTTCAAATCAAGATCCAAATACGTTTTACACATTGTGATTGATTGATGTGTATATTTATAATTTAAAGGTATAATTTTTCATAACTTTTCCAACGACTCAACACAGGCAATTTCTAAACCTTAAAGTCTTAGCAAAGGCAGTTGGAGAGAAGTTAGTTGTTTGAAATACCATCCTGTTGCTGAAAGTGAAGGCAAAATTCAACCACTGTTGACATATCTCCACCTGATATTATAAAGCCTCTTAAGAGCTCTGATCTAAAGAGATGACTGCTCTTGACTGCCATAGTGTTGCACAAATACTGTGTGCCCATTTCCTCAAAAGGGGAAATATAAAGACCATACCCCAAGTTTCTTCATTGGTGAGCTGCTCCCAAAAGGTGTTCTTGAACACTATGGGACCCATAATGGCTTCCCTAAAGCCAAGAGAGTCCGATGCCTTAAAAGGCAGAACTTAGCTGAGCCTGGCTTGAGTCTTCTCTGTGTAATAGGTATGAGGATGAAATCAACAAACGCACTGCCGCTGAGAACGAGTTTGTGGTACTCAAGAAGGTAAGCAGGGTGGCAAGGAGTGGGGGCAAGTGGTCCTTTGGTTGCAATAGTGCTCGGCTTACTGGAAACTAAGACATTTGCCCTGCTCTCTCCCTTACCTCCAGGATGTGGATGCTGCATACATGGGCCGAATGGATCTGCATGGCAAAGTGGGCACCTTGACCGAGGAACTTGACTTCCTGAATCATCTCTATGAAATGGTGAGATGGTCAATGGACAAGAATAATTACATACAACACTGGAGAGTCCCCCTGGAGCTCTGATCTGAATTCACCAGTGTGATTCAATTGATAGAAGATGGAACTTGGACCTTTAATTAATACTAGCTTCCATGTATTAAGTGCTTAAGGTGGACCAGGCACTGGGATAAGCTTTTTACATGATCCTATCAACAACTCCATAATATAAGTACTCTTATTGTCCCCAATTTATAGTTAGGACATTGAGGCTCAGAGCAACTTGCTCATGGTCACATAGCTGGTTAGGGGCAGTGCTGGAGTTAAAACCTAGTTCTTGGACTTCAAAGTCTGACACTTGGTACCATGTTATACTGTGTTCCCCTTCTTGCTCAGTTTGTAACGGTGCAAGGGATGGAGGAGCAGAGATGGGCAGAGCTGATTTGGGGACTAAGATTCCAGGTTGGAGCAGGAGATGAGGTGTGAGCAGTGGGCAGGTCAAAGAATCCGGGAGGGGGTCCCAGGAAAAAAGGGGCTTTGAAGACTTGAGTGAGATGGTTGAACTTAACATGAGTTGATTTTAGAATCAAAGACTCTCAGAAAAGGTAGAGACCTCAGGGTAAACTTTCCACTTAGTTCAAAGCCCTTCTCTAATATTCCTGATGGAGATATTAGCCTCTACTGGAATACTACTTTTTCTGAGGCAGGCATTTTCATTGTCGAACAACTCTGTTAGAAAGCTGACTTGAACCTTTTTCCCGTGGCTTCTGTTCTTGGTTGACCCCGCTTGTCCCCTATGGGCTGCACATATCCAATTATCTTCCACGTGACATATGTCTTTCATATGACAGCCCTTTAGAAGTCAGGACGATTAGGGGATTGAAGTTCAGGAGGAAGTTCAGGAAATTCTGAGTCTAGAATTCAGAGAAATGAGGGATGGGGTGGGAAGTTACAGATACAGACTTCCATTCATGCAGCCTAATATTGCACTAGTTTATGTGTTATTTTTAGAAAAAAACTTCACCATATTTGTTCTTTAAATCCCCCCTGGATTTTTTCACATGAGTGCTTTCGGGTGAGACAGGCATCCACTGTCTCCCAATTTCCTGTATTTGGGAAACTGAATTTTTTGAAACTGAATGCAAGAGCTGATGATTCCTTTTTTTACCTGTGAAATGTTCTTGAGGTTTCATCACATCGTTTTAGGTCATTGTGGGCACTTAGAAAACTGGATTCTGGTATCTATATATTGGAGATTTCCAGTTGGATAATTGGATATATTAGTGATGCATCAGCTTTGGGTTATCTGCAGACTTGATGAACTCTCAGTTTAGTTATTTGATACTATTTCAGTGTAAATGATTGATAAACACATTGAGGCAGACAGTGATGACAGAGTCCTAGTCCGAAAACTAAGTCTTTCGTGGTGCCTTCTCACTAGCCTGACCTCACCTCGCTCAGTAATTTGTGATTTAAGTGGCTCAGCTACCTTAAAATCCAGTTAACCATGCCATCCTCTGGCCCACATTTTTGTCTTATTTTTTAAATGCCAGGAAAAATAAAAGCATTTCAAAAAGAGAAGAAAAGAAAAAGCCTTCCAAAAAAATTGGCTTGGTCCAACAATGTCCATGGCAGTCCTTTAGCAGCTTTGTAATGCAACCACAGAAAAAGACAGTTTGGTTTGACTTTTCCTTAGAGAAGTCTTGCTGGCTCCCAGCCTCTCACATACATTTTATAATTCATACTAGAGGGTCATAGGAGATTGACATCAAGTTTAACTTGGAGAAGTCAAAATTTCTCCCCTTTGAAAATGAGGACATTTGCCGCGTCTAGGGTTCTGGATTTTGGAACCTCTCTCACTTTCCATATTTCTCAAGGATCACCAAGGATATTTCATTGTCTTGGCAATCTCCATGGCCTCCTAGGATATGCTCCTCTGGCCTAGACCCTTGAGATGCCAACAAGGCCAAAGCCTCTCATACTCTCTGTATCTGTTTTGGGTTTCCATTTCTTCTCAAACATCTTGCCCTCTCCAGTCTGATGACCGTTCCCCTTTGTGGAAAAGAACAAATGACATAGCAGTTGAGTTGTCGGCTTTGCCTGGATCTTCTGTAGGGTTAGCCCGATGCTGCCTCCCTTGTTGTTTTTGCCTAGAGCTTATCCAACAGCCCCTGTCCACTAGTTTTAGAATTCTCTGGCTCATCCTTGGCAGTGTTGCTCTCCTTCCAGCATCTCTACATGGCCTGTCTGGATGGAGCTTGTTGGGGAATGTTCTGTGCTTTCATGCTGATTTCTTAGGTCCTCCTCAGTTTCTTCTTTATTGGGATCTTTGATAGTCGTTGATAGATATTGCTTGAGGGGGCTTCCTCATCCTCATTTTCTCTTTTAGGTTCTTATCTCTTTAGGCCAATGATTCCCAAACTCTTCTTTTCTGAATGTGTAGGAATTAGCTTTCATATTCTCTAAGGTGCATGTCTGACATACCCAGTGTTCCTTTCCTTTACTATTCCTTGTCCATTTGATACATATCTATTGAGTACCTTCCACAAGACAACAGAAGGGCAAAGTCTCTGCCTTTGAGGGGCTTACATTCTTATGCTGGGTTACCATGTGATGAGAGCCATCACAGTGACAGGGACAGGTGCCCGGAGTAGGCTGTGGATGATCCTTCTTGGGGGTCTGGAGGAGCTTCAGGGGAGATGGTATTTGAGTTGATTTTGAAAGAAGGGCAGGGTTTCTAAAAGAAGAGTGTGAAGAACTGGCAGCCAGGGCCTAAGTCTGCACAGTGATGAGGAGGCACCAAAGGGCATGGTGTGTTTGGGGAGCAGCAGGTGGGCTGGGCATTGAATGGGTGAGAGAATTAGGTAAAGAGGTAGACAGGGAAGGTGAGCTAGGGACCAAGTCATGGTCACTTCCTGTCAAAGTTACTCATCACCTATCTTTATCTCCTTGGAGAGTGAGAATAAAGGCCAGAGCAGTCATTCCCTTTCTGTCTCATGGGAGAATCAACTGTGATTGCCTTTGTGACACTTGGTAAATGATTTCATGGTCTGGTTTTGGTCCAGCCAGATCTTAAGGAAATCTGGAGGGCCAACTACCAATTCAGGGCATGTCTCCCAGGGCAGGAAATGAACCTCATGGCCTCTCTCTGGCCTGGTGTGTGTGCGGGGGTCCCTGCAGGGTCCCAGCCCTGCTCCAGTGCCATCACTTCAGCCTCTCTGGCTCTTTTCCCCTTGCCCAGAGGCTCTCCACCCATTCTTCTCTTCAGGGTCCCCCGTGACTAAGGAGACACATCTTTTAATTCACGGAGCTCTTCTCTCTTTACATGCATTGGCTCTGTTTCTTTGGAAAGCCTGACCTCCCTGTCCCCTGGTTCTAGCAAGACCCTCATCCATTCTTGGTGGTGTCTAGTAGATAGGTTTTGACTCTTTGTCTTAAAAATTCCAAGTTGATTTTCCTCAGGACCACCACACTCTGGCATGGAACTGTAGAGGGTTCTTGAGCTGGGGAGGCTGAGGGAATGATCCTACAAGATGATGCTGGCAGTGTTGTCATAGTGGGTAGGAAGACAACTGTGACAAAGTGATGTCATCTGTAGCAAACATGCTTCATGGGCACCTTGACTGACCTTCAGAGAAGTCTGGGTAAATAATGCATTTTTACTGAGCACCCACCATTGACCATGTATGGGTCTGACTCCTCACATGAACTGCATGATGTTACATCATGCCAATTTTACAGAAGAGGGTACTGAGGCATTGTGAGGCTTAGTGACAACCCCAGTCACACAGCTAGTGAATGTCAGGCTGGAGACTTGAACTTAGCTTTGTTTTTCTCTAGAGTTCATGTCTTTTCACTAAACCACAAATATTTCTGTCCCCATCCCCCCAACCCATTTCACCTTTTAAAAGATAATTTAATTTAATAATCTAAATCTATGTCAGTATGGACATCAGTTTTGATTTTGGTAATTCTCTCTTTATTTCTGTCTATCTCTAAACTATGCCATATCAGGTTCTGGTGTCAAACTCCTTAGGTTTGAGACTGGACTCCTCATTTATTAGTTTGTGGTTTTGGGCAAGTTTCTTTTTGTTCTATTGGAAAAGGGTGGATAATGAGTTAGTGCCTGTCAAGTGCCTAACACAGGGCTCAACCAAAGGAAATGATCACTAAATGAGAGCTGTTGTTATTATTATTTTGTCTCTATCTATTATAATCTCACTGGCTGTAGTGAAGGGCCAATGTGTGAGAAAAGCTGGAGACAAGAATATGTCGAAAGGTATTGACTTTTAGAGGGAAGGTTCTCTCCTCTTGAGGAGCCACACAAGAGCACTGAGTGGATGAACAATTTGACCAGAGCTGGGGTTTGGGGAAGGGACGACCATGGAAGGGACAGAACCATAGCCCAACTGGGAGCCAACACAGTCATAACCTAGCTATAGAGCTGGTCTCAAAGCCAGAACACAGAAACCAAACCTGCTGTTAATGGCATCTTTAAATGCCTGTGTATGTGAAAGCTCATGGTCCTAGAAACATAAGCAGGGTCTGAGAACATCACCCTGGTCTATAAATGTCAGTGTCTTCTAGAGGAAACCATTTGGACTTTGTCACTCAATTGACTGGTTCATCTGGGCCCCACTTAGACTGGTTGGCTTTGGATCTGGTGACTTTGAATGTGTCGCTTCTCTTCTCCAAGCCTCTTTCCTCACCTGCCTATAGTCAGGACAAATTTGGATGGTGGTGCAGGTTGTTAACTGACTGAGTGGCGAGTGAGGTTTGAATCAGACCCCTGTTTAACTGCTCAGTCCCTGGTATGGGCTGCCTCTGCCCAGAGGGGAGCCTTTTCCCAATTTGCACAAAAGCACCCTGTGGGCCAGCCATGGCCTTGCCCGCCTCACAGGGTGTCCTGAGGATTAAAGGGACTAGTGAATGTGCTGGCTCAGGGCCTGGCACCAGCTTGAGTGCAATAAGTAGATATTCCCTTTTCCCTTCTTTAATCTCTTGGGAGCCTGCAAATGCACAAAAAGAAATGCTACCTGTGAAATGGGAGCCCCATTTCATAGCCAGAGACACTGAGGCCTTCTAGGGTAGAGCTTGGGGAAGGGCATGGACCTACCAATGTCACCTGGACCCCTGTCCTTCATCTTTTGACTGCCTCCCAGAACATGGTGGCAGCTATTTCTGTTTATGCAGGAGCTGAGCCAAGTGCAGACCCATGTGTCTGACACCAACATTGTCCTCTCCATGGACAACAACCGCAACCTGGACCTGGACAGCATCATTGCTGAAGTCAAGGCCCAGTACGAGCTGATTGCCCAGAGAAGCAGGGCTGAGGCCGAGGCCTGGTACCAGACCAAGGTGAGAAGAATGGCTGGCTCAGCTGTGTGGGCTAGAACTAGACATAGACCTTTCCCTATTGTGAGAGGCCTAGGCCACTGGGCTCCTTGCAGGCCCAGGGCCAGACACAGCCAGACTACATAGGGACCTCCAGTTTTGAGAATGGGCCTGGGGGCCAGGGATTACTATGTGGGCCTGGAACTAACCGATAGCTCACCACAACTTCTTTTGTGTCCAGTATGAGGAGCTGCAGGTGTCAGCTGGGAAGCATGGGGACAACCTGCGGGATACCAAGAACGAGATTGCTGAGCTTACCCGCACTGTCCAGAGGTTGCAGGGTGAGGTGGATGCAGCAAAGAAGCAGGTGAGCCTCTGGTAGGGAGCCTGAGGGACTGGCCCAGGTGTTGGTGGAGGTGCGGGGGTGCTTCTTATTGTCATTCTGAAGGGCAAGATCTGCTCTTCTCCTGGTAGATGGACACAAACACTGAACAATCAAAATCAACATGCTCCTTTTAGAAGAGAAGAAAGTGGGGCTCAGAAGAAGGAAGGGACTTGTCCAAGGTTACACAGCATATTAGTGGTAGAGCAGGTGGGATGACTTCCTCCAAGGAAGATTGAGCCTATCTCCAGGAGGTCAGAGCAGTGGCTAAAGGTTCGAGGGTCCAGGTCATAGATGCTGACTCCATCTAGGGTATAGATGAAAAGTGCGGGCTCCTACTCAGATCATATTTGGTTAATTGTGGGGTTGTATTATTTGTTTTATCTCTTTTGAGGCACTAGGCTGAGTTGCAGTGAGAGGGACTAAGATTAGATTAGACTTCAGTGTGGACTTTTTCACTAGTGCCACATGACCTTGCTTGTGTAATAGCATCTCTTCTTTCAGATGAATGTTTCTGATTTTCTTCTTTCCCAGTGGGTTGTGGTGGGGCTGGTGGGGGATGGCGATGCCTGGCTAAGAACAGAGAGATGAACATGATGACCCCGGAGGGTATTCCCAATACCTCTCATCCCCTGGTCAGTGCCAGCAGCTGCAGACGGCCATCGTAGATGCAGAGCAGCGCGGGAACCTGGCGTTAAAGGATGCTCAGAAGAAGCTTGGAGACTTGGACACAGCCTTGCTCCAGGCCAAGGAAGACCTGGCCCGGCTATTGCGTGACTACCAGGCCCTCATGAACGTCAAGCTGGCCCTGGACGTGGAGATTGCCACTTACCGCAAGCTGCTAGAGAGCGAGGAGAGCAGGTGGTGTCCCCTCCTGCCCTGATTCCAAGGGCTTCCCTGCCTTGCCCTGTCAGGGAGCCCATGTAGTTGGCTCTGGTGCTGGAAGCAGGAGGATAAGGGAGGAACCAGGAAGCTGGGCTCCTAACTCATCACCTTAGGGAGATTCTCCCACTCGTGTTCGCTGCTTCTGCTGCATATCTCCTTGGTCAGCACAACCATTGGTAATCCTTAAGGGGCCTGGCAGGACAACAGGAGTGAGGCTTCTTCTTCCAAGGAATCCACCAGATTCTACCACCAGTGGAAGCTTAGAAAAAAAATTCATCATCTCTGTCCTTGGGGAGGGCATGAGATATAAAGAAAGTCAACTTAGCCAGGAACTGGGCAGCTTTATTTTGGCATAGGCTTTATTTATCATCCATCAGAACAGGGGTGTTGCCCATGACCCACATGGGGAGAAATGGAAGGGTGGGGGAGGGCAGCATGGCTTGCTGCAGCTCTGCTTTCTCTGCAGTCCTGGCTTTAGGGCCTGCCGGAAGGGTCCCCTGGCGCAACGTGGCCACATGGGCATTCTTCTCATGTCTCCTGATCTTGTCACATGGGCCCTGGTTCTTGAGAGTTGACCAACTGAGTTAACCCACTGTAAAGGCAGAGAGAGGGAGGGAGAGGGATCACTGATCCTTCTGGCTTTTCTTTCCCCCCCAGGATGTCTGGAGAATGTCCCAGTGCTGTCAGCATTTGTGAGTATTTTGCTGTCCTGCCCTGGGCTCAGCCCCAGTCCTCTGCCTAGTCCATTCAATCTGTCCTTGGCCAAAAGCACACATTTCCTCCATTTGAGTCCCTGGAGACAGGTTCAAGAGGTCCCTAGAGAATGGCCTCTTTATCCATTTCTCATGGCTCCACTGCCTGATTTCATTCCCACCCCTCGCTGATTCCCAGAAGCCCCTTGTTCTTCTCCTAGGATGGCTGCCCTGCCTCACTCAGACCCTTTGTCTTGCAGCGATGACTGGCAACTCCACCACTGTGTGCGGAGGCGGTGCGGCTGGCTTCGGGGGTGGCATCTCCCTGGGTGGGAGTGGGGTCACTGGCAAAGGCGGCTTCAGCACTAGTGTGGGCTACAGCACGGTTAAGGGAGGACCCGTCTCTGCTGGCACCTCCATCCTGCGGAAGACTACCACGGTCAAGTCATCCAGTCGGAGGTATTAGCTGCTGAGCTTTGCAAGCTGGGGCCCCTGCTGTCCTCTCCCACCCCACTTACCCATATCTGCTGCCTCCCACCCACCTCCTTAGGAGCAGGAACAGCCCCAGGAGGTTAAAACCACTAGCTTGAGTAATGTGTTTGGGTGACTTAGGGGTGAGCTTTTGACCACTGAGAAGAGGCTGAATTACTGAGGCCATCTCAGCTTCCTTCACCTTTTCTGTTCATCTGATCTGAGCTCAGGGCTGGCTGGGGGAGGAGGAGGGGAAGTCAGGAGTGGTCCCTAAATGTCTTTCAACCTCCCCAGTCTCCCACCAAACACACCCCTCCCTACATCTACCCACACCTACCTCCCCTGTTTGTGCCTATGATGTGTCTCAATAAATGGCAACTGCAGCTAGCTGTCTGTGGCTCCAGTCTGTTTTGCCTGGGGAACTGAAATCGTCAACAGATTAACTTCCTGGTGGTTGAGGCAGCAGTAACCACATATTCACTATGCCCCAATCATTATGCTGAAAGCACATTAGCTCAATACCATCACCACTTTAGGCCTTGGCTCTTACTTTCTCCCTTGCAGAACTCATAGAAAGCTGGAGGGAATATGTAAGTTGCTCAAGGCAGGACCCAGTTACTGAGCAGCTGCCTATCACCCAGTCCATCACCTGATGCTATTGAGCCCTCCACTCACTCTGTAGGGCAGGCAGCAGGATTGTTCAGCGGAGAGATCTTGGGCTTCAGAACTAGGTAGACTTGGGTTGAAATCTCAGCTCTGCCACTTACTAGCAGCGTGACCTTGGGCAAGTTACTTAACCTCTCTGAGGCTCAGTTTTTTCCTTTGTAAAAGCAGCATGTGATGAGAGCATGTGTAAAGCATCCAGCTTTGACAAGAGTTGCTTCCCTTTGCTTTCCTTCTCCCTGGATTCTGGTTTCCCAGGTCACTCCGGAGTCAGATAATTTCTCTCTTAGTCCTCTCAACCAGTCATCAATAAAAGTTCACATTTGTTAGACAATGGCAGAATACATATTATTCTCAAGTGTACGTGGAATATTTTCTAGGATAGATTACATGTTAGGCCATAAAAGAAGTCTTAGCAAATTTAAGAAGTTTAAATCATACCATAGGGGAGGGAGGGAGCAAATGGACGGATCATTTTATGAACTATATAGATGTCTAACCAATGTACTGTATACCCGAAACTAATTTAAATAAATAAATTAAAAAAACAATTTAAAAAATAAATAAATCATATCACATATCTTTTCTCTCCGCAATAGTATGTAATGAAAATCAGTAACAGAAGAAAAACTGGAATATTCATGAATACATGGAAATTAAACAACATTCTCTTGAGCAATCAATATATCAGGGAAAAAATTAAAAGAGAAATAAAAAATTTTCTTGAGACAAATAAAAATGGAAACATGCACACACCAAAACTTATAAAACTTATGCAGCAAAAGCAATTCTAAGAGGGAACTTTAGCGCTATAAATGCACACATCAAAAAGATAGAATGATCTCAAATAAACAACCTAACTTTGTATCTCAAAGAACTAGAGAAAACAAGAATAAACTGAGCCCAAATTTAGCAGAAAGAAGAAAATAATAAAGATTAGAGCAGAAATAAATTAGAGAACAGAAAAACAATGGAAAAGATTAACAAAACTAAGAGTTAGTTCTTTGAAAAGATAAACAAAATTGAGAGAAAGAAAAAAAATGGCATAGATGATAGAAGCTCTGTTCATTCCTCTGGAGACCAAATCAAAGTTGTAACGGTAACAAGGAGCAGCAGCAAGGAAAAATCGCCTGGGGTCTAGATGAACAAGCCATACAGCTAGGGAAAAATCCAAGAAATCACTCTGCAATGGCAGAAGGATTTGTGAATTTCACTGTAAATAAATTTCGTCCTGAAAATTAAAAAAAAAAAAAAAGAAAAGATAAACAAAATTGGCAATCTTTAGCTATATCAACCAAGAAAAAAAGAGAGAAGACCTATATCAACAAAATTATAAACAAAAGAGGAGACATTATGACTGACACCACAGAATTACAAAGGATCAAAGAGTGTTCTATGAACAACTATATGCCAGTAAACTGGACAACCTAGAAGAAATGAATAAATTCCTGGAAACATACAACCTACTAAGACTAAATCAAGAAGAAATAGAAAATCTGAACAAACCTATTACGTGTTGGGTAACCTCTACTTGTACATGTCCAGGGTAGGCAACCAGGAGAGGCTGCTCTCTACCCCCGGGAAGGTGAGGATCCAGTGCAAAGAGTGCTTTCCCGCCCCCATTCTAAGGAGTTCCCATCCTCTCACTGTCCTTCACTGGCCCCTTCTCGAAATGCTGACTGGTTCTTTTCTGAAGACTGCGTGATCCTCAGGTTGGCTCTGGCTCCCCAAAGAGTGATTCAGGCACAGTGGGGCTGCTGAGGCTGAGTTACTGTGACTGAACTGGGCTAGGGCCTGGACCCAGCCAAAGAGGGCGGGGGTGCTTTCCCACACCACACACCAGATTTGGGGCTGAGAGTGAAAGACTTCGGGATCTTCATAATCCTAGGGCTGAATGGAAGGCTTGCCTCCCTTACCCAGAAAGGCCTCAGCAAACACACCCACCTGCCTCTGCTCCACACCCCTGTCAGCTGTTCGTTTTCTTGACAAGGTCTGTAACAGTTGCCAGATAAGGAAGGGTCATAGAGAACAATAGCAGAAGCTATGGGGGTGAGGCCAGGACCAGCTTTTAGCAGTTGCTGCCAGGAAGAGTCATGCTGTCCAATCCCCAGCCTCTGGCCCAGGTAGATAGGAGGCATCTTTCCCATTTTCTGGGAAAGAAACTCTTCTCTCTGCCTTTATTACTTGTGGGCAAAAGCTCTCTTGAATAAGAAGCTCTTTCCTATATCTACCTTTGGTTTCTCATGCTACAGTTTGAGGATTTTGTGAACGTCTGGCAATTCTGACTTAATAATAAAACCACAGAATATGGCTCTAAACTTGAACTTTCTTCCTGTTTGGTTTAGGTTTATTATAGGAGTTGTAATTTAGTTAATTTAAATTTAGTTAAGTGGAAGACTCAAAACTGGCCCCTTGGGACAATGTCATACCAATTGAGTACTTGTAAGATCAGGGCCACATAAACCAAACAACCAATCGTATGACAAGAGCAAGGACAGAAGGAGCAGAGATACCTCTGGAGAAAATGCAGTGAGCTGCTCAAGATCTCGTTGTTGCTCTGATGGACCATAAGCTACGGGTCTTTATAAGTTTCTATAAAAAAATTTTTTTTTTCTGCAGGTTATGTGTGGGATGGAGTTACCAATATAAAGCATTGTGGAGGTTAAGGTTATAAGATTTGAAGTCAGGACTGGCCTCCCACCTCCACCACTTCCTAGCTGTGTGACCTCAGGCAAGTTACATAACCTCTCTGAGCCTCAATGTCTGCAACTCTAAACTGAGCACAGCAACACCTCTTTTTCAGGGTTGTTGTGAGGAACGGAACTGTTATAAGAAAAGCACCCGGTGTCTAGCACATAACGACAGCTCTAAATGAGAGTCCCTTCTACCTGAAGAGCACTGGGTTTTCCTTCATCTTACATTTTGTCTCTGGAATAGTGGCTACCTCGGTTTAGAGTTATCTTCACAGGAAGTATCTCAGTCTTGGCTCTGTGGTTCAGGTGCCCCACAGGCACAAAATAAGACTGATTGTATATCATGTATTAATTCTTCCTAAATCTCTTCCAGCCCCACTTGCTTTTTGTTCTGGGCCCTAGACATAAGCAGACACACCTCTAGGTATACTTCATTTTCTCCTAGTAGTGGAGTTCACAGCTATAGACTATAAGATACAAAGGACAAGTCATGGGCCACCTTAGGGCTTCATCTCTGTGGATAGAATCCTTCCTCCTAGCCCATGAAAGTCCCCTCAACCCCCAGGGACAGCCAGGGAGCAGCTCCAGTTCTCCTCTGCTCTTGCAGCTGCAGCCCCAGAGAATTGGCGTAGCTCTACCTTCCCTCCCAGCTGGGCCCACTCCTGGGGTCACTATGGAAATCGGTAGACTCTGGGTTGCTAGGGCCCTCAGAGCCCCCTTGACTGGATCAGTCAGTTCAGTCAGGTTTGTTCAGTTGCCCAGTTCTAGATTGGCCTCTGCACAAATTAGAGCTGATTTCATACTAGATGGGATGGTGTGGGTGAGAGGCCTGGGAGTGCAAAGGGCTGACTCAAGGGCTACTTCACCCCCCTGAGGTTCCAGGTTTCCATTGTAGGCAGGGCTAATGATACCTACTGCATAGAGCTTGAGGAAGATTAAATGATCACATGCATATAAGGTATCCTGCACAGTGCCTGGCACAAAGTTGCTACTCAGTAAACACTCATTGAAAGGATGAGTGAACGTTCAATCCCATTCCTTATAGGAGATGGTCCTGGCTCTGAAATGCTTGCTTACTACAGGTAGACGGACCACCCCTTGGGTTTTCTTCAGTGGACCTTGGATGGAGCCCAGGGGCCTCCTGTCCTCACTGCCACAGCTTTTCCACCCACTCTCCATATGCGTAGAGGGCAGGGCAGGGAGAGCTCAGCAAAGGCCGAGGTATATGAGACAGAGGGTGAGGTGCAGATCGTGGGTAGAGGTAAGAAGAGGGCAGGAAGAGGGGATGAAGGTGGAGGTGGGGAATGGAGGAGCTGTCAGAGGAGAGAGAGCTCCTAGTCGTCCAGCTTTCCCTGTCACCCAGCCCCCAAGGTCTGGATTCACTGACCTCTTCTTACCTCACAGGCCCTGCCCTGTCCCTTCGCATGAAGGGAGATACTCATTTTTGCCATAGCCAGCTTTCATTTGGTCACAGTCAGCTTGGGCCTGTGGGAATTATCCAGGCCCCGGTCACTGCTGCTCCCCAGATTTGGACGAGCAGTCTCATGAGGGGTTGATTAAACAGAGGAGAGGGACGCAGATTCACCTAATTTCTCCTTGTGAGTGACAATGGCAAATCCTGGGCAAGAAAAAGAATAAAAGCCTACTGACCTACTATGTGCCAGGCGCTATAGGTACATTGTCTTATCACCTATGAGACAGGTGTCCATTTTATGGTTGAGAAGATGAGTTGAATGAATTTAGAGAGGTTAGTTGCTCAAGACTGCACGGCTAGTTAGTGGCAACAGGTGGCATTTGAACACAGATCTGTTGCACTCAGTGCAGAAGAATTTAAGTTAGGGCTTAAAGCTAATGCATTTGAAAACATTGCTCTGAGAAGGCGCTCATAGGTTTCACCATTCTGCCAAAGAGGTCTCCAGCACCAAAAAGTTACAAAGTCCTGCCCTGACTGTTGGGACCATTATGGGAAAACAGAACAGGCTCTGTCCTGTTGGAGGCAAGCACAGAACTGGGCAGCAAAGGGAGCAGCAGGGTGCACACAATGAGGACCCAGCATGGAGAACATTGATCTAGAATCCTGCAAACAGAGACCTGAACAGAGGCTGAGAAGGAACACGAGGCCAGAGGGCTCAAGGCAGAGTTAGCTCTATTCCATCCCTAACTCCACACCTGGCATGTATATTCTCAGTAATTGTGTGTCAAGTCCAGGTGAGTTTTGATCTAGGTTTGGAAGGCTGTAAGGCTGAAATATGGATTTCCCCCTTTGTATGTGTATTTGGAGCCAAGTGCACATGGAGGAATAATAATGTCAATAATAACAAATATATGTGCAGCTTCTGACAGTTTACAAAGTACTTCATTAACTGTAATCTCACTGCATCTTGAGAGAAGGTAAAAGTAAATATTTATATTACTTCCAATTTACAGGTGAAGCAACTAAGCTTCAGAGAGTGACTTGCTCCAGGTATGCCGAGCTAGTAAGTGCAGGCTGTGCACTAGAACCCATGCCGTTAGGTTCCAAATTCTGTGCCGTGAATAAATGAGCAATGAGCTGTCTTGTCTGGAGCAGGGAGGCTGATTTGGAGGATGGTGAGATGGAAGTGTGGTGGGTGGGGGACCTGAAGGGCTGGGCCAGGCAGGGCCTCTGACACAGGAGGCCCTGAGGCACTGATGCAGGTTCTCCTGGAGGGGAGTGTTGGGATCCAGTAAACTGTGCCCTCCAAATGACTTCTTGTAGGTGTGTTTAGTGACATGCTCAGCAGGTAAGAGAAGGATGGGCTGGTGCCAAAGGCCAAGCCCAGAGATGTTTCAGATTTTTCCCTTTATGCCCCTGCAACCAAGCCCTGCTGCTCCAGCACATATAAGAGACCCAGGCTAAGGCTGTGACAGTCACTGGGCTGGCCTCTCGTGCTTCTCTCTGACAACTCTGATCTCTCTTTCCTCTCTCCAGCCATGATCTCCAGACAGCAGCGTGTCCGAGGCGGGTCCCAGGGCTTTAGCTGTAGCTCGGCCGTCATAGGTGGGGGCAAAAGGGCTGCTTTCAGCTCGGCCTCCATGTCTGGGGGTGCGGGCCGCTGCTCCTCTGGGGGCTTTGGCAGCAGGAGTCTCTACAACCTCGGGGGGAACAAGAGCATCTCCATCAGCATGGCTGGATGCCGGCAAGGTGCTGGTTTTGGGGCTGCTGGAGGTTTCGGGGCTGGCAGTTTTGGTTCTGGTTTCGGCGCCAGCAGCTTTGGAGGTGGATTCGGGGGCTCCTTCAATGGACGGGGTGGTGCCAGCTACCCCGTCTGCCCTGCTGGGGGGATTCAGGAGGTCACCATCAACCAGAGCCTGCTGACCCCACTCCATGTGGAGATTGACCCCGAGATACAGAAGGTCCGGACTGAGGAGCGAGAGCAGATTAAGACCCTCAACAACAAGTTTGCTTCCTTCATAGACAAGGTGAGCCATCCCTTTAGCCTGAGCAGGTGGTGGAAGCCAGAATTCCTGAGTCCTGGTATTTCAGTCTTGAGTCTGCCACAGGAAATTCACTGAACTACTCTGGGTCTTCATTTTCCAGCTGTTAAAGGGGAGTCATTATTTTGAATCTGTTTTGTCCCATGGCTGGTGAGAAGATAGTCTGTCAAAGCGGTTCAATATTTGGAGTTTTCTAGATGCTCTGTGTGATACTTGGCCAATCATTCAACTTTTCTGGGTCCAGTTGGCCCAGCTATAAAGTAGGTTCATTGTTTCTCTGCTTTTTCTCAGATTTTGGTTTCAGAAATAAAGAGTTAATAATTTAATGATTAACTAATAACTAATTGTTAATTATACTATAGTTAATAAAATAATTTAACTACTGTCACTTCTGTTGTTGGAGCAGAAGAAAACCAGGCTGGTTTCCCAAATGAAAAAGGAACTGATTCCAATGGCAGAATCTAGATCCCAACAAGACCTTGTAAGGTCATTGCTTTCATCCTCTTGACTCTGGGCAAAATTGCTTCTTTGAGTCTCTTAGAAGAGATGAGAGGATGGGTCTCCCCCTTTCTTTTTGTTGTCCAACTTCCTTTTCCACACGGGGTTAGAGGTTCAAGTCCTCAAGCTTAATTACAGCCAAATACGATGGATGATAGCAAGCAGATCAGCCTTAGACAGCTGAGTCATCCAGTGATTAATGACTGAATGGATGAGTAGCACATTTGGTCAAGGATGCCCCGATTCTCTGTGCATCGAAGTCTTAGTTTTCTTAGATGTATGGGGCAAAAATGAGCAACTTTGGACTAGAGCGAGTGGGAATGTTTGCTCTTCTTGCTAGTTCGAAGAGACCTATGGTAGCTTAAAGAGGCTTTATTGTGACTCTAGGACGTGAAGAGATAAAAGCAAGACCAAGGGTTTGGTGCTTCCTTGTGTCATCTCACGTTTTGGGTTCAGACTGTGATCAGTTACCCTTACCTACTTTTATTTTGATTCTGAAGCCCATAAAGTGGAAATATTATGCTAAGCTGCTACCTTGATTTATCTGTCTAGATCTTTCCATAGAGAGAGGAAAAGTTCTGGGAAGTCCCTTTGCAGAATTGAGTCTAGCTAAGGCTCAGAATATGTCTAGGGCCTTGATCTTAACGAACTATACTCGATGGTGCACAGGTTCACAGAGACACACTAGGTCCAGTTATAAGTAAGTGCATTTAAAAAATCTGCAGTGAATTTATCATTTATTTGCCATGGATCAGGATCACTTTGAATGTAGGCCCTCAGACTGGTTGTATCTCCTATTTTTGTTTTATTTTATTATTTCATGGAAGTTCATTTTTCTTCTCAAC